TTTTAATTTTAGTGTGACACTACTAAATATTTGTCCTGTGCATAGAAGCATTAATTTTTGAAAAAGGGTAGATGAGCTTTTCAACTCAAGTAAGAACAACAGTAAGCCAGAACAATCTTACCCTATCCACATACAGAAGTATTAAAATAAAATCAATGCATTATATAAGAAAAAAAAAATCGATGTAAGTTCCTTCAGTTTACACTGTAATAAAACAAAACATGAAAACTCCAAAATACATCAAGTTTGGGGAATTTTTTTGTGTGTACCAGTGCAGAGTTTCTTCAATCAAATTAATCTGGTTGGAAAAGTAGTCTTAAACTTAGGAGCAGTGGAGGCGGAAGGTCAAAGAAAAAGTCTGAGATCCTGTGGTATCTCAGAGGGAAGTGTGGGGGAACGGTTAGAATTTAGCAATGGGAGGGCAAAGTTAATCTAAGAACAGCTCAATTCCCAGTGTGCAACAAGATCTGTGCTGGAGGACACTGCTCACTATAGGGCTCGGGACGGGAACGGGGCCCACCCTGATGGATCTAATTACAACAGTTAGGCGTAAGTTTGCTTTCCGTTTGTGAGGGCTTTAAATTTATTAGCTAGAGGTGATGAAGAGGAACTTTCTAAAGAATTGAGAGGGAAAATAAGACAAGGGGTTAGGGTTTCGTCCTTCCCTCATCCACCAAACCTCATCTACCTGTGACTTTAGTACAGTGCTTGTAAACGATATACATGGGCCTGACTTCGGGTGTGATTTGGCTCCAACACGGAAGGTAGTTAGAAATAATGGGAATGCATTCTACAGTCAGTCCTGCGGAGAGGAATGATGATAGCAGAAGATGGATGTCTGTTTGCTTTTCTTTTGCCTCCCCGAAGCATATATCTCTGCAGCAAGGACAGCAGCAGATGCACTACCCAGTTTGATGCCATAATAAAACGATTATACAGTTCCAGTCTTTTGCATGGAAAGCACTAGGCAGTGTTATACGCTCTTCACATGTGAGGTTCTTGAATTTTCAGGAAAGCTTTCCATCAGCAGTGTTGATTTTGATAGCAGCCAAACCCATATACCAAAGCAGAATTTCCATTTAACTTCTTTTTCACCTCTGAAAACTTGTCTAGCCTTGAAAATATGATGTTAAAAGAAATCTTACTTTAAATAATTCTTTATTCAGCCTTGATACTGAGATTGCTTTCCCCTTGGAATGCTGCTCTACACGTCTGCTTATATGATTTATGTGACTAGCTGACTTGTTTGACATTGCCTGTTATATTGATACATCAGACTATGGTTTTGTTTTAAATATTCTAAAGATAATGCAAATATATTTATAGAATAATTATGCAAGGAAACAAAACCAATCATATTTAAAAGCCAGTAGATGTAAAGACTGTTTGAATTGGGCTTCTTCAAAGTAAACAGTGTTACCGTATCTCCAAAGCAGTCTCCACTGATATGTCTGCTTCCCTCCTCTCACAAATTACTTCAAGTCTTAGAGACTGTCCTTCTAGCAAACAGTGTATGCACATAGCTTTCTTCACAACTTTTACATCTATGTTGTTTATAGATCAAAAAAAAAAAATTATTAAAATTGTCTAAAGTAGACATGCTGATTTTAGATTTTGATTCCTTGCCAATATTTGGACGCTTCAGGCAGTATTTAAGCAGAACTTGCAAATTCTTAGAAAATGAAGTTGGCAGACAGTAGATAAATGCTTTGCTTAAAATTTGGAATAGTGACTTAACTCATGGCCATGAGTTATTTCCTAGACTGGAGAGAATAAATAAGGCAAATTTACAGAGATGCCTACTGGGGACTGACTTGCACCTGTCCCTGTGGGATGATGCCCACAAATAGTTTGAAACTGTTCCTGAGACTTGGCACTTCTACAAACGCGTATCCAAATGCCATGGCCTGTGACAGTTTAAGAGGGCGCCTAATTAATGAGCAGCTCTTATTATGAATATTGGTTAAAGGAAAAGATTGACTGAGTGGCTACAATAAATTACAGGAAATAATTATATGATGAAAGGTTATTCTACTACTCACCAGGAAAACTAAAAGACATTAAATTTAAATGCAGTGGGACAGTTCTTTGTCATCACAGTCCTGTCCTGGACATCGACTGGGATCAGTTAACCCGTTAATTGAAACTCCGTTTTGTGAATATGAAATTTTGAGCAGGCCAAGACAAAAATGTCTTACAACAGCATGATGATATACTCCAAGGAAGCCACAACTGGTGTAATATGTAGGACTTCAACTTTTTAGTAGTGCAACAAGGGCCTTAAATCATTAGTCATGGAAGCCTGTTTCTACAGTGACAAATTCCAGGAGGATGAAATGTTCCAACAACCTTCTCTAAGCTGAGTGGTGTTTTTAATTTGGTGATCCTATTTATTAAGAGCGCATTGTGAGGCTACCCTCTCACCAAGTCGGAAATTTCTCACGTTGCTAATTTAATAATCTCAAAATAGTTCAAAGAGCATTTGTCCTAAAAAAAAAAAAAAAAAGGAAAAAGAAAAAAGAAGGAAAAAAAAGGGACCTTATTAGCCTTTGAAAAATCTAACTATGTACTTCAGAGACTCCAGTGACAAAAACTGCAACACTGAGATTATCTCAACATTCAACTGTTAGCCAGTTTCTGATTTCTCAGAAAATATAAGAATAATGAGCATGGGATCATTCATGTAGATTGCTTTTTTTGGAAATGTCAGAAGAATACTGCTTAGGACCCGTGTGATGCAGAAGCTTTAAGCCTCTTTTTCTGTCTGCTTTCTATTGTAGTCCACCAGTAAGTTCTCAAAAGGTTTCTGTAAGAGTTCTTCCAGTGATATCTTCCAGAATGTAGTCAGTACAAGGTTCAATTTCATTAATCATTTCCTTTCAACCCTTTAAACCTTGGAAATTACCTTGAGAACAGGAGTTTGATCAACACATAAGATTGTGAATTCTTACTTGTAGAGCTAATACGAGTGGTATTGTACTATTATTGGTATTGAATACTCCTGCCACTAATATAGTGAGTACTTGTACTCACTATCCAAGTACTGCCATCAGCTCAGGTGAGTTCTTGATCAAGAGAAAATCTTTAGGAAGCAGCTAATCTATTAAATACAATAAGATAAACCTGTTATCACCTTGATCTATTGGCTGGAAATAAGCTGGGAGCAGTTAGGAAAAAAAAGCAAAGAAACTCCATGTATCACGTTTCCCGAGCTCATTATCTCTTGTGAACTCTAGCTCTACCAGGACAGAAAACTTCAATACTTAACATTCCTGAACACTAACTAATCAAAAATCACATTTATTCCACTGTCAATATAATGTTCAGAGTTGCTAAACTTATTTTGTAACCCAATCATGAAGCTGCATTTTTAATCACTGTATTGTAAAAACATCTCTGAAACAAACTAGTCTAAAACAGAATAATAAGCTTTAGACACATGAGACATGAAACAAATTTTTCTCCAAAGCCCATATCTTTTGAAAGTGCAGAAATTTGTTGGTTTTTGTTTTTCTTTTTTCTTTGGCAGCCACAGAATGCATTCTGATTAAAGTGTGTAATATCCAGTCAAATAACAGATCAAATAAAAAGGACACTTAATACATGTGTAAATCATTTGAATTACAAATAAGACATTCTAGAAGGGGCTTGGCTCTAGGTTTCATGCAGAGGATTAGGCTCTCGTATTAATACATGCACTTGGTGTAGCTATTTTCAGAAGGATACTTCATCCATCATTGTCCTCGAGCACTAAGGATGGCCAGTAAGATGATCGTACTGATCTGTCAACACTACTTGCTTAAGACTCAGTCGTGCAAAAGGTTTGGTTTTCTTATGCCCTCAACCCAACAAGGTGCTGAAACTACCTACTGCTCCTAATAGTCGCTCTGCTCTTGCCTTCCACAAAATCAGAATATATTCCAAAGATATTCAAAATAAAGCAAATGTTATTGGTAGGTCAGTGTTAAATCAAATGTACTCGCACAAATTGCATGTTGGCCTACTAGATCTATCAGAATTGATGGGAAGTCAATGCTATTTAATGACTTCTATACTTTTCACAGGATTATATAAAGCATATACAGTTTGCACATTTATGGCTTTGCAGAAATTACATGCTAAACAATAATCATAAAAAAATTTCTTACCAGAGCATGTACAATTGAAAGAAAAATAAAATAAAAGCTGCAGAAGTAATGTAAATATAAGAAGATCATATAGCTTAGATTTTCAAAATAATAAGAAATAAATTCTAGCTTTTAGGCAGTTATTAATAGACCCTGAACATTTATGCCTGTTTGTGCAGCCTCCAACGGACAATTCTGGATCTTGCTAGCAGACTACATAGTTTCTTTGCTTTGAACTTAATAGCACAAAAGGGGTCAATATTACTGCCTTTAACTATCCATCTGAAACAAAAAATAACTTCTGTAGTGTGGCAAAATTTACCATTCCAGTCTGACCTATGCAGAAAAACTTACTACATTTTCATTTATGCATTAGACATACAGAACATGTTTTCATCAGGACCTTAAAACTGTTTCATGAACACATCTTTTCTATTTGGTGTCTTAAAATTATGAAAAATGTGTCAGCATGCTGACTTTTTAAACTGTAAGAAGTGCTATTCCCCATTTTCCATAGTCTAGACAACTTAGCTATAGAGAAGCTACTAGTTGCACTACAAAAATCCTGCAGTCTTTAAGAATTGAATACAGAATTTGGCCAAGCAAGTAGTTTCTCAATATCCCTGCAAAGCTGTTGTTTATTGTCTAAAATATTTGGAGGCCAAAACTGTTTTCTGTTATACCCCTACCTAAAAGCAATTTCTTAGTTTAAAAGGATCGGTGACCTGTAATGATATAATGATGTTATCTGGCTATCACTCTTAGATATTGTTTGTTGCTGAAATATACAAGGTGGTCTAAAAGGTGTTTTGTTTGTGTGTACTCATAATTCCTGTAATTAAGAAACATTCAAGTAATATTTGTTATGCTTACCATCTTTCTTGGTGGGTTCTGGCATTGTTGCAAGAATTCTTTATTCCCAGTGAGTTTCAGACTTTCAGATGCAGTAAGTAGTAGCTCCAAGTCCAGCTGCGAGAGTATGCAGATCACTATGACAAGCAGAGGGTAAGAAGAATTCCTCCGCTTTATATACTGCGACTGAAATATCAGTCAAAATAGCACCTCCTCTCTTTTCAATGCAAACGCTTTGAAAATTGACAGTTATGGGAACCCCTCTCACATCTGTTGTCTGCAGCTTCTGCTCCCTTGGCTTTTGGAAGGAATCTCTGCTGCATTGCATGGGGCTGATGAGAACATCTATAGCTTTCTAAATTCAGCCACACTGCTCGCCCTCCGCGTCTCTCTCTGTAACATGCAGACGTGCATACACACACACAGATAGAGGTTGAAAAAGGGACTGCCACGCTATTAAAGAGCCCCTCCTGCACACAGAACTTACAGGAGCTACCTGTATATATTTATGCCTTTTCTCACAACATAAAAGGGACAACTAAGTATAGACAGTGTCCCTGCAGTGAGACTTCATCTCCTTCCTTTAAGAGAAAGTGGTATGCTACGATGGAGCGAGATGTACAGTGTTTTGTAGTATTAATGAAGAACAAACGATTATCATGTTTCTGTTTGGAGCAATAAAGACCCTCAATATGTCCCATTTACATTTGCCGCACTTTATTGTGTCCTTTCCCTGTAGCCATCCTCATTTTGGCTTCATTAGAGACTACAGTGTTCCTTTCAGCACTGCTACCTGATTAGCTGGAGAGGTCACTGCTGAGAGATGGGATCTTCCCTTTTCCACTCATCCAGGAGATGCAACACTCCTTGTCTTTGCCAAGCCAGGAAATCAAACAGAAGGAATGGAAATCCTATCTGTAGCACATGCACCGAGCCACTAAACTAAGCCACTGGGTTGCCCTCCTCTTAAACTCCTACTTAAACTATGAATAGGCAATAGAAATGCAGGTCAAATTAATCAGAGGGTACTAGGATTTATTTTTTAAGGCCCTTTTAGGATTTTGAAACAAAACTCTAGCCAGTAATGCAATAGATGAAGTGGTCCTGAGTGGTTTCATGCTATTAAAACACATGGACATGACATTATGACACATCAATAAGAAGTAGGCCCAGGTGTTCTGAAAAACATGCTTCACATCTTTGAATAGAGTTAGAGATGGAATAGTGGTCACGTGCCTGCTTATCCTGTAGCCAATGCATGATTGTTTCCTCTACAATCTACTTTTTTTCTGGTAATTTATCCACTTTATATACAGCTTATAAGAGCTGGGCAGTTCATTCATTTTTTTAAGAGACCAGACTATTATCTCACCTTTTATGCTCTACTCATTGTGGTGTTTTATTATTTGACTGATTCATGTTCCTACACAGAGAAAGGCAAGACCCCTACCTACAAGAACCTAAACAAGGAATAATAAAGTTATTTCCCTCCTTTGTTTCATTTCACTATCTAGATAAACCTCCTTATATCACTGAAAAAATTCCTGTCCTTGTAAAGCAGACAGTATGCTACCGTGAATAGGTGACTGGAGATTTTGTACTTCAGTGTACAAATGTGGTGACAATGGAGAATCAGTGCATGAAAAGACCTGATTACATGGTGGAGATCACTTTTTCTTGGTCCCCTTTCTTGTACTCACATACAGGCACTAATTGCTATGCTGCCTGGAGCCGGAAGATGTTGAAGAGCAACTGCTGATTCTTTCCAGCATGGTATTTTCTTTGTGTCTCCTTGTAACATGTAAAGACAGTTTGCTTTGCATTTCACCCACCATGTGCCAGGAGGTGCTTAGAACTATGTGTCTGGAGATTCCTGTTAATACAAACAGGATTAAACATGGTCACCCTCTAGCACTGGCTGAGTTAAAGATGACTCCCATCACAATCTCATGGTGAGAAAGGACTAGGGGCCAGTGTTTATCCTTACAGTCTTGAAGACCTTTCTTTACAGGAAGAGGAAGGATGACATTCAGAAAGGCAGAATCTAACTGGTAGGCTACCCTTATACTACTAAATAAATCTCTACTGAGACTACCCTTTGGCACAGAGGACAAGCGAGAGTGTGCAGATCTCATCCACACAGCAAAACTCCTCCCCTACCACCAAACTTGAAGACTGCAGCCAAAATGTCCACGGGAAATGGTTGCTGATAAGTGTGTGGGCTACAGTACTTGAACCTGCCCTAGCCCTGCTTTATTTGCAGGTATAGACATAACTGGAGAAATTAAATTGGCTCTATAATGTCTACTAGGCAGCAAGGGAACAGGATAAGTCATTAGTAGGAAAACGTAATGGAATACTGTATTTGGATTTGTAACGTGTGGAGAGATGTGTGTTTCTTGAGGTCTCTGTTTTGTAAAGGCCAGCTGAGTGGGCAAACCAAAGGCTCTCCAACTGCAGGAAATAAATTGAAATTGTGGAGTAGTAACCATCTGAAAATTTGTTCATCCTTTCACTCTTCTCAACCCTTACATTATACTTGTATAATCCAATGTATTTCATGGTACATTCTCTTTTACTCTGATAAAAAATTCCAGTGTTGCAACTTTCCTGTAATGCAGTTTCTAATAGTATTATAAAAGATGTCACTGGTGTAGATTTTCACCATGTTATCTCAATGTACCTTTGCACTAGCAGTGCCAGGGAAAGCAGTTTATTTCCTAAGAAATGAAGCCATATTTTATTTGTTTAAGTCTAATTCCCAGCTGAGTCTGTGCCTCAAGCACTTGCAGGTAGTTCATATTCCAGTCTAAGACAATCTAGTCAGTTTATATTTCTTCCTGCACAAATGTCACAGTGTTGACCCCATCTTGCTTGTGCCATAGTAGTGATTGATTGATGTACTATTTGATTGATGTAATTCAGAGCTTGCCTTCTTACACTTTGTTTTCACATTTGCACAGTACATGATAGTCACTAAACTTGCCCTATAAGTACATATGGGAGAGGTGTTGATTTTGGCCAACAATTGTCCAAATTACTTTAAGACTGGTTAAAAAAAAAAAAAAAAAAAAAAAAGGGAAGAACTGAAAAGAAGGAAATGCCTGGCTTTTTGTTATTTCCTTTTTTTTCCCCCATTTTGATCATCTCTAAGCTTATGCTTCTTGGATCACAGATATGTCTAAGCACCAAAAATTATCTGTCCACCCAACATTTATACTCTTTAGTGATAAATGCGTTATCTATTCCTTCTATGGAATTCAGATTTTTAACTATTTCTTTCTTTCAGTTCTGCTCTGCTTCCCTGTATATGGCAATCACTCAGCTGATTTGATTGCAACACATCCTGTGAAGGAGCTGAGCCAGAAGAGGAAGCATGTAGCTCCTTTGTGCTGAACACACAACTCTTGAGGAAGTGAAAGGGCCACAAACAATGTTATGGTCTAGCCACCAGCCCACTTGCTATATGACTCAGCCAGCTCCTTCATACGAATCGTGAGGTGGAAAGAGCTGAGCTCCACCTTCTTTCCAGCCCACCTCCTGTAACTCACTAGATGGAACTAGATGCTGTGTCTTTCCCAGTCATCGTTCCATTAACTCACCCTATTGCTAAAAGCCCCCTTGTTTCCATAGGCCTGCCTTGTGTCTCTGGATGGAAATGTACCTTGTCATAACTTGATATTCTCCTTCCATAAGTTGGCTTGTGACCTAGTATTTTGCCCTTCTGTAAAGTGAATATCTTCTGACCAAACTTTATCCTCATCACAGTATGGCTTTTGTGTACCACCATAAACCCTCTTCTCAGCCACCTCGAGGGTAAAACATGCTAAGCTCTATGAGCCTTTCCTTTCCATGCCTGCCTCAGTTTTCTGTGTTCTCTTTCCAGAACATGAGTACCCTATTTTAACTCTGTTTAGTTCCTTGAGCAGTTTCCAAACAGCAGCTAACTAAGGCGTCAGCTAATTAAATCATTCCCTCTCATGTTTTTAATAAATTGCCTTGGTCAAACATCCAAAACTCTTATTTGCTCTTGCAGCTGCTAGATCTACATCCATAACTTCATATTTGCTGCTATTCCTAGGACTGAACTCTCTCACTTACTTCAGTCTCTATTCTAGTAAGTCACTGTCTGTTTGTTACTAGAGAAAAATCTTCGACTTGTCACCAAGCCAAAGGATCAGACCTTCTCCAAAGGTCTCAAAGATAAATCATTAGCCAAACTATTTAACCAAATGCAGCTCTTATTCATATGACTTAGTTTTAGTTAGTCCTGTGAGGAACAGGGAGTTAGACTTGATGATCTTTTTGGGCCCCCTCCAATGTAAGATATTTTATGATTTTATTAAATTTTCCACTGAAACTTTTGATTGATAGTGGTAAAAGTGGATTGATTGAAATAAGAGTGCTGGGAAGAAACAATCAGTTTATATGAGAATGGAAAAAGATTCCCAATCAACACAGAACAAAATCTGGAAATAACCCTCAAAATGCAGGTGTGGCTATGTGTCTTCATTAAAAAATAAACAGCATCTTGGTTTTGCACTAAAAAAGAATCCAAAGTTTTGAAATTTTACATCACAGAAACCTATTTTTCATCAGTTTTAATATTTGGAGCTTTGAAGCATCTAGGAAACTGTTTACTGAACCCAAGGATGAACAATAGGAAGAAGTAGCAGATGGAACCTTCTCTCCCATTAGGAGAAACCCATAAAACTCCTTCTCTGGGAGAATGCTGGAATGAATTTTGATGGTACCCAAGCTCCTCCCACCAGGCACAAGTCCTGAAAATCTTGTTCTCCATGTCTACAGCAGAAATGCATCATAGTGACATCATTTTGTGCTCACATTCTGCCTTTGCCACTTACTCTGTGGAGATTTTGGTCAATTTATTTCTTTTGATATCAATGATAATCTGCAAAGCATTTTTACTTTTCTTCCAATAAAAATAACAAATCAATTGTTTTAATTTCTACTGTGCTGGCAAGTGGAAGACTTAAAAACATACAACTAAATAAAAATGCACAACTCACAAATTTGCAAGAGAGGAAAGTACTTCGTCATGAAAGAATGCTGCATTTCAGGCTGTCTATTACTTTTGAAATCCCCATGTAATTTATGAAGGCAGTCCTTCTTTTGC